GGTACTCATATCGTTAAAAAATATAACCACCCTGACAGACTAGGGATAAAAAATCACACTTGATGTAGACATAGAGGATAACGTCACTTCTTGGGAAGTTAAGCTTTGGTAAGACTGGTGGGTGGTGGTGGGGAGTGGAGAGGAAGCCGGGAGACTATGTCTTGGGCTCCTGAGGCAAACTGGGAAGTTCTAGGATCCAAACTGCCAAGTGCACATTTTAGCCAGGCATCTAGTTGTTTTAAGTTATTTTTCAAAGATCAGTAATCGGGGCCACATTTCTGTACATGTGATGCACCATTAGCTGGGGTCTGACAATGCTTTTGGTAGTTTTTGTCATCATGTACTGACTGCGGATAGTTGAGCTTTGGAGCAAGAGTTTCTTCTTTAACCCCTTCCCCAACAATTTTTTTGTTAAAAACGTTTCTTTTTCAGACTAATTTTTTTATTTTGGTTCTATATAGTATTTTTGATGCTGGTTATGAAAACAGTTTGTAACTCGTCTTCCTATAAACCATATTTTTTTTTACCATATTTTCTTAGTATACTCGTCGACGACTGAAAAAGAACATTTTGTGAAAACGAGTATACACGTTTCTGCCGGGGAAGGGGTTAAATTCCTTCCCCATATAGGTCCTAAGAGGTGGTTTATACCACTTTACATATTAAATATCAATGAGGTGTCACTTTTAAGTATTGCTTTGTGCTAATATGCTGAACACACTGTACACTAAAAACACAACCTTCAAAGTTGCTTTCATAAAACCCTCACACCCATTTTGAAACCAAATACTATTAACATTGCCAGTTAAATAGGTATCCAAACACAGGTTTCAATAAGTAAGTTAAATATTAAGGTGGAATTTCTGGAACGATTCACAGGAAACCATTAACAGTGGTGTCTGCAAGGGCGAGAACTCAAGTGACTGAAGGATGAAGGGAGACTTGCTTTTCTCTATATCCTTTTGTACATTTTGAATTGTTTACCATGTGCATGGATTACCTATTCCAAAGGAAAACTGAATTAAAATAAGTGAAAATTAAAATAGATATTCCAAATCTGAGTTGAAACTGTAAATACTGAATATCCCCATTAAGGTGCCTTTTTCTTAAACCTTTATAATAAAGGGAAACGAGCTCTTGCTGTTTAAAAAAAGCCCACCTCCTCCACCCCAGCATTTCAATAGCTGCGTGTCATTCCTTTAAGGAGCAGTAAGCATGTGTGGGAGTTAAACATGCATTTAATCATCCCCAGGTCCGACAGAAGTGTGGCCAGGAGGGCCATCTGTTTTGTTTGAATGAGAAATGACCCAGCATTCTGATTTCAATTAGCCTCTTTGTAGCTTTATGTTTGAGCTGCTTCCACGGGGAACAGTTCAAACTAAGGGTAGAGAAGAGCTGGCCAAGTTCTGCAGTGCTGATTTGTTTAGCAACGGCCAGCGAACATAGAACAAGTGTACAAGACAATGTAGCTGGATGCACATTAAGATGCATAATTTTATGGACTCAAAATAGCATGTTCTGGAACCTGAGAGCTAAAGAAAATATTGAAAAGGTATCTTGAAAAGGTAACTCTAGCCCTACCACCCCTGTTTACTGCTGTACACAAGATAGTCCCAGTCAACATGCTACAACATAAATGTCTGACTGTAGCTTTAGCCAGAGCAGCCTTGTTCACTCGGACCCACCCACCTATGGTTTTCTTTGCTAATAATAACCAAAAATCTTTAGCGTATGTTTAGGAAGAAAATCAAACTTGAATTCTATGTAAACAATGTCACTGATTGCAAGGTATCAAAACTAGCTTTTAAACGTGAATGCAGTGTCATTCTTGACTTATATCTATCATATTTGTAATTCTTTTCAGAGAAATGACCTGTTTATTTATCATGGTCAATACCATTCATGTGGCCCAGTCTGCTTTCTTGCTAAAAATATCCAAAGGAAATAATAGGACCTTTTGGAGCTTGTGTTTTCTTCTTTACGAAATACGTAATTCTTTATTAATGATAATGTCAAATATATCTACAGGTCAACGAATGAAAAGGAAAGAAGATAATTAAATGGGAAAATGAAGAGATGAAGTTCAAATGAGCAGGCTGAAGAAATCCAATAGAATTTCTAAAGCTAGAGAAAATGTGCAGAAACAATGATTTTTAGTGTTACAACTTCAAGTCACATTGAAGGAGAAAACAAATCAGTAGAAGGCAACGGGTTTGGTTCTATCAAAGTAAACATACCCAAGAAAGCAAAGTATTATTTTCTACATAAAGATCTCATTGTAGGCACGATATAGCCACCATCTATTCTGGCTGTAGGAGAAAAATACAGATATGGAATTATATTTCTTCATGATACAAATTTACATGATGACACACCAGAATGTCCATCCATTAGCAGAAGCTGAGGAATGCATTCTATTAACAGAAGTTATTTATTTTGTTCATTAAAAAACAGGCCTTGATAAAGCCTAAAGTTAACGATTTAAAAATCTTTTAAGACCTGTAATGCCTTATAATTTTTAAAGTGTTTTGTGACTTGTGGCATTACATAATCTTAGCTAGTATATATGAAAGTATAAGGAATTGATAGCACAGATTTCAGGTATTTTCAAGTTAGAATAAAGGAACAAGATGCCCATTATGACCATAGAACAACTTCTGGGCTGTACTATGTACAAGCTATGTGTCCCTACATGGTATGATAGGCACAGAAAGGTCTACACTCACCTACTTCCCCCAAACTGTCTCATTACCTAAATAGCACTTTCCAGTCACTACAATTAAAGTACTGATCATATGCCACAAAACTTAATGTTAAATAGCATCATTAAGATTACTTTGGCCCTGGCTGGGTGGCTCAGTTGGTTGGAGTGTTGACCTGATGTGTCAAGGTTGCAGGTTCAATCCCCAGTCAGGGCACATGCAGGAATCAATCAATAAATGCTAAATAAGTGGAACAATGAGTCAATATTTCTCATTCTCTCCTTCCATCTCTCTCTAAAATCAATACATTAACAAAAAATTTTTAAATTATGTGCTGACATTAAGATTATCAAGTTAGCCAAGAGTTGGGACACTTAAAAAAAAAAAAAAAGACACAAATTCTGAAGTGACAAGAGGAAAACTAAACCAGAAGCACGTGACTGCCTTTCGTGTTCATGGCACCATGACAACCAAGATGAGCTGGAGACCATGTTCCAATGAGCTTACTTGTAATCTTAGTGGAGGGTAGACAGACATCTGATAATTACATTATAAACTATGAAGGAAGAGGTCTTTATTAATGAGGGTTTTAAAAAAACCTTTCCAAGCAGCTGAGGTTCACTGGTTATCCGAGCAATTCTGGTCCTATCAGCAGCAGGATATAGGTCCCGGCCAGAAGCTCTTTATCCTTTGGGCGGTCATTCTCCACAATCCCAAGAAGCCCAGTCGCTGTGCTCAGAGCACAATGCAACCCAACTGTTCTCTTCCTGGGGTACACTCAAGCTAAGGACAAGGCTCCGGAGCTTCTACCAACCACCTCACACGCCTAACCAGTGTGCTTTTATCCCGGAGAACTTCCTAAACACAACACAGCCGCTGACTTAAGAAGTCATGATAAAAGCCATGGAGAAGTGGCCTTTTCTTCCACTACCTTCCTTGCCACTGGTCTTGCCTTTTCAGTCTCCTTCCTCATCCTCCCTCTAAGTCTTTTCCTTTAATACTTTTATTTTCCAATTGCCTCTTCATTGCATAAGTGTGAATATGGCTACTTCAAAGTGTAAAGAAAAAGAGAAAAAAAGTTACATCAAAACGGTAAGTTGACTATTTTAATCACTAAGCTAATTGTTCCTGAAGGAAAAATAAAATTGAAGAAACTTAACTTTGACCAATAAAACTAAGCCTAGGGTCTGAATCTGAAGATTTTATAAAACCTCTATTTAGTCAACCAGACTATTTCAATGATACCTTAAGAGTATTATATATAAAAATCTAAGTATTCTGCAAGAGATATATAAATTTGAAAGGAACTTTTCTATCTTAAATATACTATGTCAGAGATTAAAAATAACTAAAGCTCCTTCGCTCTTTAAAACTAATAGGCCAGTTTTTAAAAAGGATATCAACATAAAATTATTGAGCAGGAACCCACCAACATCATGTGAACAAAAGCAAGTAATTTTAGTTATAAGTTTAATGACAGTATCTGACTTGCTTTCATAAGCAGCAAGCCCTGAGCCCCTAAAATGCAAGATAAATATTCTCATAGATAAAAGCAGATTAATGTTTCTGAAATTCCAAACTTCTATATTCCACATGAACTGCAATTAATCAGAAGTATGTGAAAGAGAAATAGTTATTTAACTCTAAGAAAACTGTGAAATCCAAATTAAGACAATGTAATAATAAAGAGGAAGATTTCCCAGTCATTGATAATCATAAAAATCGACTTTTAAAACATAAAAAATGCAGTCTTGGCTGGTGTGGCTCAGTTGGTTGGAGCATCATCCCATATACAGTAAGGTTTTGGGTTCGATTCCCATTTAGGGCACATACCTAGGTTGTGGGTTCAATCCCCGGTTGGGGCGCAGATGGAAGGCAATCAATCAATGTTCTCTCACATTGATATCTCTCTCTCTCTCTCTCTCTCTCTCTCTAAAAATCAATGGGCATATCCTCAGGTGAAGATTAAAAAAAAACAACCCATAAAAAATGCTGTATTTTGAAAAAAATTGGTCAGAAACAAAGTCCTTAATGACAATGTAGTAAGGCCCATATCAACTACTAGACTTACATCAATTACCTGGCTAGATATGCATGATTAAAATTTCCATTACTGCCTAGTGGTAAAAAATTTAGATTTGTCACAAAGCCCAGGACACTGGAATTTCATTTAAATCAAAACTCAGAAAGTGTTACATTAACAAAAACAGTAAAATCTGATAAAATCATGTAACTCATTTTAAAACACCATTATTTACAGATTCTCTTTGAATATATAACAGGTAATGATGCAATGAAGACGTTTTTACAATATTTATTAAGATAACAAATTTATAAAGTGAAAGACTCAGAGGCACATAGTTTAAAAGGCCAATACCATGGGAATAATGAAGTCAACACAGAAAAGAAAGTATGAACAATTACAACCAATACAGGATTTTTTTAAAAAGCCACATCCTCTCAATAAACCCATCATACGAATCATCCTTCAAAATTACCATGATAAAAAGTTATTTCCTTCAAAGAAAAATAATTCTTTCCACCTACCGAGCCTAGAAAATTCTATTTACAATGAACTGTCCGGTATTTCATCGGTATTGTTTAATATGGCCTCCTCTATTACTATCATTAGAAGTACTGAAAATGTTATAGCTATTGTATTTACAAATGCACATATTTAAATTTGCTCTTCATTGAGAACAACTGAATATATACTTGATCAAATCACAATACAAATGTTTTAGTGTTGAAAACACATTTTGTGGGGAAAAATGTATGGGAAGAGGTGTATTTAGAATTATATTGTTTCTGAAGGATTACTAGGCCAATAAGTCTGATAAAACTCAAGGTAGTCACAAAACAGATGTTTGTTGATGAAGAATTTAATTTATTTCTGTTTTAACTGGACACACTGGGCTTCTTCAGTCAACTTTCACCACACTGTAAATTTTGGTAACAAACCAAAAGCATGCAAAGAAGCCAATTGTTCCTATAAGAGAAAAAAGAAAAATAAATGCTTTTTCAAAGAAAGCGTAATAATTCACACATCAATGCTGATTTAAAATGACTGTTTCCTTAAAAAAAGCCACAAAACTAAAAACTGTTACTTTCCAGGAATATAACATAGATCCATGAGCTTTTTTGAAAAATATACAACCACCTGAAATCAAATTTCCTACAGAAATTGACAGAAAGAACTTTTTATACGATACGATTACCTGAGCTTTCTAGAATACATTTTTCTTATTACATGCAAAAGACTGAAATTAAGATGAAAAGGATGACAATTTCCCTTTCCTTTTAAAGAATGTTTTACCATAAAATGGAAAGATGCTATTAAAATTAATTCAAGGTCTGATATGACAGAGCATCAGATTCATAGAATTAAATGGGGATACTTTCTAAGTATAGTTATTGGGAATTATCGGTTTTCAGAGAACTATAATAAAATAATGCAGGAAGGCTTTACAAATTGTTTAAAAGCAATATAATTAGGATAATAATAAAGATGCACCCCCCTGAGAATGAGAGGTGATGTGGTACCAGAAGACAGAGCAGCTTTGTCATGAGCTGTGTATAACATCTTTGGAGTAGGCCACTGAATTTACAAGCCCATTTCTTTATCTTGTTTTAAACAGAGATAATTTTATATGCCCTGGCTGCCTCCATAGACTGTCAGGCAGAGTACATGAGATGATTCATGAAAAAATATATGCCTCGATTTATAGGTATCTTTATCAATCTAGATTCCAAAAAACTGAATGCTAGACAGGTGACAAAAATGAGGCTCTGAGGGATTGTCTATTGGCCCCGTGGCTGGTAAGTAGGACCAGAACTCAAATCCCCTTTTTCTGACTTCAAGTGTAGTACTTTTAAAAACTATACCATGCTTAGGTTTATTAAACATAAATTTAGAGACTCTGTTTTGCAAAAGGATATATACTAAATTATGAAACTGCCTTACATATTTTTAAAAACTGGAGGCATACCATTTTTTCCAGGATTACCCCTGAGAAAGAGCCAACAGGTGGGGATGCAGAAGAATACAGAAAGGGGACATACATATTCCTTGTGTAAGTCTAGTTTTCAACATTGTTTTAAATGTAATATAAAGAAAAGGTATTAAAGAAGATTTTCTAAGTCAAGTGGAGCATTACTTTGTAAAGCTATAAATGTTATTATACTCATTCTCACAACATACATGTACTGAGTACCTATTATGCACAAGTCACTGTTTGGGAGGATATACTGAAGGTATCTGAATATATCTTTTGATTATTCAAAGGGTCATTAGTAAGCTTAGCTAGGGATGAAGTTAGAGTTAATTTCAGAAAAGTAATGATGAAAACATAAATCTATTTAAACAACCTTGTTTAAGAGAAGGTATGTTAAGACGAGAAAAAAACATTTTATCACCATATTGATAACCCTAAGAATGTTTACTTTGTTCTTAACAAAATACTTTTAGTATTTTATCTTTTTCTTAATATGCAATAGATATAATATACATGCTTAAAGCATCTTTCTTTAAATGAATGAATATTGTTTTGTTTTGTAAAACAGACGGACTCAGATAAGGGTCTGGAGTCCTGCAGTAACTATGGTGTTTAGAAAACACCAACCTCATTACGTCTGACCAATGGCCTGGAATACAGAATTGATGTAAGTGCCTGAAGCTTGTCATATACTGATATAGCAACAGAGGCACTTAATAAACCTACTTAGTTCTCCTAAATGTTAACAGATGTAGAACATTTCTAATTTAAATATATTTTTCTTCTGGGCTCCTATATGTCCTCATATAGCATGCAACACAACCTTAGATAAAATTTTAGATATACATTTTTTGTGACAAAGGTCCCTCAATTTTCTTTTTTTAGTTCAGTCATTCCACACATGCTTACAAGCACCCATAGGGCTCTAAGACATAGGAAACTTACTCAAATGAGCAGAGAAAAAAATACATACATAAATGCCACTATTATATACACTGTACACCATTAGGTATTTGAATTTTATTTTTTTAATTTTTATTTATTCATTTATTTTTTAATATATTTTATTGAATTTTAAACTTGTAGTTTAAAACTTATAGAATAAGGGAAGTCCTATGATTATCTTTTCTTGATATCATTTATTCTCAATCTCATCTTGACTTCACCTCTCCAATTTCTACTTTACTCCTAAACTTAAGTAACTAGAGATTTTTACTCTACAGTGGGGTCTTGACTTACGAGTGTCCCGACTAACGCGGTTTTTGAGATACCAGCTGTCTCTCGGCCGATTTTTTGCATTGAGTTGATAGAGTAATTTGAGTTAAGGAGCTCCTTAACGAGCTTGGTCTCAGACGAATTAAACTCATAAGTCAAGGCCCCACTGTATTTTTTGAAATAGGCAAAATAAACTGATGAACAAAATAGATCCAGAGACATAGAAGCATGGAACAGACTGTTGAATATCAGAGGGAAGGCAGAGATGGGTATGTAGATGGGAAGACATCAACCAGGGAACTTGTGTGCATAATTCATGGACATGGACGGTAGTGTGGTGGGTACAGGGGCAGGGGGCAGGAGCAGGCTAGAAGGGGTCAATGGGGAAAGGAAAAGGACATAAAAAAAAAAAGAGCTTAACAGGGGAAAACATTGAGATGTACTGGTCAAGGTACTCTAGTACTTTTAGCACAACAATGACCCTGTTTAGACTTCTTCCCTTAGCTTCTGCTTCCTCACCTTGGTTTACTGATATTCACCGCACAGAGGGGCAGACCAGACTATGCTTGGTTGCACTGAGGACTAAGTATTGGAGTGCTGAGTAATAGAAGCCTTCTGGGTTTTATAGGGAAAATATTCATAAATAATTTGAATAACTAGCCTAAAAATTTATTAATTAAAAATAATCATTTAAATTCTTACCTGTAAAAAGAAAAAAGATCAAAACCATTATCATGGTATAACCAAAGTACAGAATTGTACTTGCTGTTCCGGTGATCTGAAGTTTTGAAAAGAAGTAGTGTATGGCATATATTAAGAAATAAACTGCAGTAAAGCCACTAGTAAGGAATGAACGCCACTGCCAATGATAATCCTAGGTAGAAAAGAAAAAAATCAAAGAACAGAATTAATTTCAAATTAATAGATAACATGTAGCAGAATAAAGTTACAAATCAAAGATAGCTAAGTGAAATAGCCCATAAACCTAATGTTTTATATTGGTTCCAGTCTTTTTCTTCTACTGAACTTTGTCAATTTCCCTCCCCACTAAAGAGACTAAAAAGCACTTCCTATCTTTGGTGGAGCTACTCAGCACTGGCTAAAACCATGTGGAAAATCTTAAACAGTTTATGAACAATGAAGCATTAAACTATATTTTAAAATGTATGCTTCCCAAAGAAAAGAAATATACTTTTTACTTAGAAAATTTACTTACAAGGCTTATTTACATTTACATAGTTCAAAATTAACATCACTTATCTTATAGTCTAGTCAACTATATTAGGAAGATTAGTCCATTAAGTCCTGGTTGAAATCCATTTTCAGTTATTACTAACACCTGAGGCCCAGTGCATGGATTCGTGCACTGGTGGGGTCCCTCAGCCTGGCCTGCGGGGACTGGGCCAAAACCGGCTCTCCAACATCCCCCGAGGGGTTCTGGTTTGCGAGAGGGCGGTTTTCAGGTGACGCACCCCGGAACTGGGCTCCCTCCTCTCTTCTCCCAATATTATGTCACTTTCTCTCTGTATCTGTCTCGCTTCTTTCATCTCACTGTACCCTAAAAGTTTGGAGGTAACTGACAATTTGTGGGCATTTAGCTGCAAAATGCAATTATTTAGCAAACAGGATTTACTTAGCCTGGAATCTAGTCGGCCTAGGGCAGGACACTGCTCAATGTCAGGCTCTTGTTCTGCCCAGGTGGAGTCCTGTGGCAGGACCATCCTTCTTCCCACCTGAGCTGCTCCTTCACCTCCTTCCCTCCCTGGAGGTTGCCCGCTGGCGCTAGTCTGCCCAGAAGGAGGGAAGCCCCGACTGGTCGAGAGTGGTAGCAGGAAAATTCGCTGCCTCCACTAGAAATCAATATTAACACATTGCAGACCAGTAGTTTTATTGCTAGCTTTACCCAGTGGCCAGATAAATTTCTATTGAATGAGTACAAAAAACGTTTTACATAAATGTTAAAAGCACGCTTTAAAATTAAATACCCATTGCATTTTGAAGTTATTTATTACATGTTCTTACAAGCTAGTATCTTTTTAAAGAATTCTCGTGATTGATGACAAGCCTTAGAACAGAAAAAATGAGAATTCTCATGATCCGTCTGCAATGTGTTAAGCGGATGAGCTGGCGTGGGCACCAGACGTTGGGGCTGCAGCCAGTAGGTACTGCACGTCTCAGCATTTAGCTCATCGAGTCAACAAGTTTCTGTAAGGGCCAGACCCACGACCTCTGCAATGGGTTAGAGGCCCAGTGGGGAGCCAGACCCGAAGTGGGGAGCCAATGGGCTAGCGGCCCGGTACATGGATTCGTGCATTGGTGGGTCCCTCGGCCAGGCCTGTGGAGATCAGGCAGAAACCGGCTCTCTGACAACCCCTGAGGGGTCCTGGATTGCAAGAGTATGGTTCTCGGGTGACGCACCCCAGAATTGGGCTCCTTCCTCTCTGGTTCTGGGTGCGTCACCCGAGAATTGCAGCTGCCAAATCACTGCAGCTTGGCAGCTCCTGTGTTGAGCATCTGGCCCCCGTGGTCAGTGTACGTCAAAGCTACTGGTCAGCTGGTTGCTTAGGCTTTTATGTATATAGATAATTTAAACAAGGTAAGTTTTTAAAACAGTTCTTTCTTTCATTTACTTATTTAACTTTTTTTTTTAGCTCCTCATGCGAGGATATGTTTACTGATTGTTTTTAGAGAGAGGAAGGGACACAGAGAGAAACATTGATCAGTTGCCCCACAACATATGTACATGTGCCCTGAATGGGAATCAAACCTGCAACCTTTTGGTGTACAGGACAATGCTCCAACCAACTGAGCCAATGGAGCCAGGGCTAAAACAGTTCTTATTTTTAAATAAAGTGGCTTATATCTTAGCAGGAGATCTGTGAAAGAAATACTTCACTATCTCTTCTACCCTTTTGAATATGTGAAAAATAAATATATTTGAAAAGCATACCAACATTTAAAAAATCCAAAAAAATCCACACAAAAACTAACAAAGCTAATAAACAAATTAGCAATGTTACAGGATACAAAATCAACATGAAAATCATTTGTGTTTTTCACACCAGCAATGAACAATCCAAAAAACAAACATTTTCAAAAACCATTTACAGCAGCATCCAAAAGAATAAAATACTTAGGAATAAATTTAACTAAGGAGCAGAAAGATTTGTACACTGAAAACTACAAAACTAAAAGAAATTAAAGAAGACTTAAATGGAGAGACATCCCATGTTTATGGATTGGAAGACTTAATATTGTTAAGATGGCCATTCTCTCCAATGTGATCTACAGATTCAATGCAATCCTTATCAAATTCTAATGTCCCCCCCCCACCTTTTTTTTCCAGAAATGGAAAAGCTGATCCTCAAATTCATATGAAATTGCAAGGGGCCCTAAATAGCCAAAATAATCTTCAAAAACAAGGACAAAGTTGAAGGACTTAGCCTTCCAGATTTCAAACTTACTACAAAGCTATGCTAACGAAAACAGTGTGGTACTGGCACAAGGATAGCATATATACCACTGGAATAAAATTGAGAAACCAGAAATAAACCTATACATTTATGGCCAATGGCCAACAAGGATGCCAGGATAATTCAATGAGGAAAGAAGAGTCTCTTCAACAAATGGTGCTGGGAAAACTGGACATTCAAATGCAAAAGAATGAAGTCGGACCCCTAACTAATACCATACACAAAAATTAACTAAAAATGAATCAATGACCTAAATATATGAGCTAAAATTATACATTAGAAGAAAACATAAAGGTAAGCTTAGGTTTAGGAATAAATTCTTAGATATGGCAACAAGAGAAAAAATAGATACAAATCAAACTCATCAAAATTAAAAACTTTCATATAAAGGATATTATCCAGAAAGTGAAAAGACAACTTACAGAATGAGAAAAATATTTGAAAATCATAGATCTAATAAAGATCTAGTATTCAGAATATATAAAGAACTCTTACAACTCAACAGAAAGATAAACAACCCAATTTAAAAATGAGCAAACAAACAGAATAGACATTTCTGCAAATAAGATATAGAGATGGTCAACAAACACAAGAAAAGACGGTGAACATCATTAGTCATTGGAGAAATGAAAAACCACAATGAGACCTACTTCAAACATACTATGATGGCTATTATTTAAAAAAACAAAATAAAAAAATAACAGTGTTGGCAAGAATGTGGAAAAATTGGAACCCTCGTGCAACTGTTGGTAGGAATGTAAAATGGTGCAATCACTGTAGAAAACAATTTGGTGGTTCCTCAAAAAGCGAAGCAATTACCACATGACTCAGCAATTCCACTTCCACATACATACCTCTCAAAATAAAAAACAGATACTCAAATATCTACACATCAAAGTCCATAGCAATCTACACTAATAAAAGAGAAACATGGTAATTAATGTCACTCCGCTACCCTTCCCATTGGCTAATCCCCCTGTCACTCACAGAGTAGGGCCAAGATATGCAAATTAACTGGCAGCCAAGATGGCGACCGGCAGCCAGGCAGCTGATGCGAACAGGGAGGCTTGCTTGCTTCAGTGATGGAGAACTCCAACGTTCCCTGCCTGACTTACCGGCCTCTCACCTGCAAATCTCAGCAACTATGTTGCGAATAAAGAAGCTAAAAACCCCCCAGAAACCTGCTTTACTCAGCGGAGCTTCAGCCAGCCGGACCGCAACATTACATCAAATACAGAAGGTAAACAAAGGCTAGAAACCTGCTTTCAGCAGGCCTAAGAGCTGCAGCCAAGCCTCAAAGCTAAAGCTGGCCCAGAATAAAAAAAAAAGAAAGAAAAAACGGAGCGGTTGGGAGCTTCCGTCCCATCCTGAAAACAGCCCTCAGCCCCTCACCCAGACTGGCCAGGCACCCCAGTGGGGACCCCCCCCCTGAATGGTGTGTGACCAGCTGCAAACAGCCATCATTC